AGTGGCAGGTAACTTTCTCCCTACTGCCTGCCCCACCTTACCCTTCCTTTGTTCCTGCCCCCCACAGCCTCAGGCCCTTCTCTGCCTACTCCCTGTTTCTCCCTGCAACAGCCTCTGGTCCCCCCAACAACTTACCCTTGTTCCAGCACTGATAGGCTCTGCCCCTGATGCAGTCTGGGGCATGGAGCATGGTCCCAATTCAGCCACATAGCAGCAGTGCAGCCAGCACCACTGCTACAGAGCCAGGCTTGGGCCACCCTCTGTGCCCTATGCTGGAGCAAAGGTGGGGGGAGCAAAGGAGATGGGGGTGGACAGCCTGGGGGAAGGAGTGCAGGAGCCCAAGGCTGTGGAGAAGCAGAAGTGAAAACGGGGGTGGGGAGATGGGAGGGAGGGAAGGAATGTGGGGAGGCAGGGTTGAGATGATGGGAGAAAAGGGGTGGAGAGGAGGTGGGGGGGAGGGGCAGGCAGTAGCTGTAGCTCCAGTCCCTACCCAGAACCAGAGCTGGAGCAGCTGCCTGCCCCCCACTACCTCATGTTAAATGGGGAAAGAAAACCTTGGAATCAAGTAAATATGGTATGCCAAGACCTATGGTAAATGACCCTGTTTTTTCATATTACCGAGTACACTACTCGGCCAACAGACTCTGATGATCATCCTAACTTCTGGGCCAATGGTCATCAATGTTTTGGCCCCACAAACAAGACGAGAGGCGTGGGGCCAGTTCATGGGCTGAATCATACCTCATATACCAGGATTGGGCTCCAGGGCACCGCAGCACCCCTTCTCAGTCCCTTGTTCTGGGATTGGTGTCCTTGTGCCACCTCCTCCCTGTGCCACTTATGGGGCTTCAGGGGGGGGCCCCACACTGCCCCTACCCACTCCTGCATGACAGAACTATGCTCCAAGGGCCGTGTGCTACCTCCACCTCATCCCACGAGTGGGAATCAGGCTCCAGGGTCCTCATGCCGAACGTGCCGAGTCTTGCATGCAGGGATCAGTCTCTGGAGGCCCTGTGTTATCCCCAAACACCAGGGTTGGGGCCTGTGCCACCCTGTACACCTGACCTAGTGCACAGGGCCATGGCCTGTGGAACCACAGGGAGGCCTGCAGGCTGGATGGCACAGCACCAAGGGCTGGATCTAGCCCATGGGCTGGGGGTTAAGCACCCCAGTTCTAAGCAGCAGCCTTACAAAAAAAAAGGGGTGAAACGGCATTGACTAGTTCTCATCTTGTACACAAGTCCTTCATCATGTACCCTGGGGTAGCTAGTAAGAAACACTTTAGGATGCTAGAAGGAGTCATCCTCAAATTATTTTTCTCTTATGAATCAATAGAACCCAAATATACTGTTTATATAACAAAGAGCATTCAACATTTACATGGAAACCCACAATCTGGACACTTTGTTCATACAGAAGAATATCACTGAAGGAAAACCACAATACAGAACGTAAACTAAACTTGCAGGACTTACCAACTTCAAGAAGGTTAACAAGTAACTCAACATCTGCCAAGGAAGTTATTCTAATGAGCTTGCTATTATCATTTTGGCAAGACAGTACTGCATCATTCCAACTCTTTTCCTCTTTATGAAGTTTATAGCAGTTGCGGTTATAAGGATACCAATCAGTGTCACAGCGGGTAGGATAATACTTCCATGAATCTTCTAATTAAAACATACAAGATTGAACACATTACATAAAATTAGTTGTAAGATTAGGCTAAAGTGTTTTCATAGGGCATTAATACCTATTTTCTTATTTACAATAATTGGAAATATAAAGGCATTCAAAACAATTCAATAATGAAAAAATAGCACATGTGTACACAGTGAAACACCTGCAGACAAAATTCCCAAAATTTATTTGCAGTAGCATAACTATGGAGGGTGACCAGAGCACCAGCTGTGGGTGCTGATTTGGGGAGGAAGGTGCAGAAAAAGCAGCCCCCATGCTGCTAGACTATCACTGCCAAAAGCCCAAGTACAGCTGCCATCCCTGTGTTCCACTAACTTCCTATGCACTAAACCACCTAGCTATGCCTCTGTTTAAAGGTATGGTCATTTGAGCTACAAATAAGTCCCTCAGAGGCTTGCTGAAGGCATTTTATTTTTAAAATTTAGCTATACTGTAACTATAACAAGAAGACTAAAAGAGATAAACATTGCAACTGGAATCGTTACATACCGAACTATTAGCCTACCTTACCCTATCACATTTTGGGTCTAATCCAAAACCCACTAAATTCTTTCCATTAACTGCAAAGGGTCAGGTCCTGTTTAGAGACCATCCGCTGAAAAGCTGGCAAGTCAGTCAGCAACACGGAAGTCCTTGACTTCAGGAAAGCCGACTTTGACAAGCTCAGGAGGCTTGTCAGTGAGGCCCTAAGGGACCATGACCACGGGGAGAGGGGAGTTCAAGAAGAGTGGTTGCTCCTCAAGGGAGCGATCCTCAATGCACAAACTAAGTCTATTCCATCTCGGAGGAAAGGCAGCAAGAGGGCACAGCAGCCCCCCTGGCTCTCCAGGGACCTAGCAGACCTCCTGAGGCTAAGAAGAAAGGCCTACAAAGGATGGAGGATGGGAGTCACCTCCAAGGAGGATTATTCTGCACTGGTCCGGTCCTGCAGGGAGCAGACCAGGAAAGCCAAGGCTGCAACTGAACTCCAACTAGCTTTGAGCATCAAGGACAATAAAAAGTCCTTTTTCAGATATGTGGGAAGCCGGAGGAAAAGCAGGGGCAACATTGGACCCCTGCTGAACCAGATGGG